GACGGGTCAAAGGGCCCCGGGAGGAGGGGAGATGTGGAGGGGTGTTCGTTCAGGGCCTGAACTTGGTTGACCCTCCGCAGTTTCCTCCTTGCTGTCCTGGGCCTCCATCCTAAGGGAGGTGAGTAGGCAGGCGGGTCTCCTGGAGGACCCCAGCGTCCCCCCGGGCTGGAGAGGAGGCTGGAAGGCCGTTGAGGGGCAGAAGCGAAGCAAAGAAGGGGCTTAGTGCCGCAGGAGGGACTGGGGTGGAGAGAGGTCCCTTTCCTCCGGTCTGAAAAATTCTGCTAATTCACCTGGCCAACTCTTACTCATCCTTCAAAACCCCTTCCCAGTGATCTTCACCCATGCTTTAGGAAATTATCTCAAAACTAAGGTTGAATTTTACCGTCCTTCCCTGGGGTCCCCCAGCGGTGACAGCTCCTGGCAGGGAGTGTAAATATTGGCACCATCTCCCCTCTACCTCGTGGCATGATGTCCCTGGGTGGAGCCCACTATTAGTTGGGGCAGCCGGAGGCACTGGAGTTTGACAAATGAAGAGGGTATAGGGCATGCATTGGGGTGCTGGAAGTCGGGGAGGGGGCTGGGGATCCAGGACTGGGTCCTGGAGGGGAGGCGGGGAGTGGGGTGGGGTTGGCTCTGTCCCTGGCTGCCAGGCCTTCTGCCCTCTCTCCTTATTATTTTAGCATCCCTGGATAAAGTCCTTGGGCCTCCTGCCTGAAGATGACCTCTTGGGGCCATCTCAGCCCCCAGAAGCGCCCTCCAAGGATGAGGAGGGTCCCAGGAACTTTGGTGAGGAGGGCATTAATCCCTGTGGGTAGAGGGAAGAGCCTGGAAGCTGGGATGAAACCTCACTGTGCTGCTCCTGATGGAGGGACACGGGCAGGTGGCCAGGCCTTTTGGCCGGGGGCTCCAACCCATCATACCTACTGACAGGTGCGAAGGCACTTTCTTTTTAAATTAAACTTGCTTCTCATCACCCAGGTGATAAAACACATGACTGCATCATCCCTGGTTAACATTTTACAGGCGGAAGCCCCCCTCCTCCAGAGTCGACCCTTTTCAGTAGTTGAGGCCGGGGTGGGCAAACTTTCTCTCTCAAGGGCTCTCCAGAGAGTCCATATTTGAGACCTTAGGCCAGGAGGCAAATTGGAAGATACTCTGTGGGGACTTAAGTAATCAGAGAGAGCAAATTCCCTTCAGGTTTCAGGAGGTCCCAGCCCACCCCCTGGGGGGCTGATTGGAGATAAGGCCTGAGGGTGGGAGAACGGGAGGCTGGGGTTGTCTACAGTCTCCTGTGACCTTCCCAGGCTCCTTCTGAACTGAACTATCGCGGTGTCCTGGATCAGCTCCGGCAAGAGTTCCCCAGGTGAGGGCGACTCTCAGGGGCTGGAGGTCCCGCTGTGGCCCACAGAGGGAGGGAGAGCGTCCCCTCTGGTCTCTTGGGGGGCCCAGAAACCCCTGGCCCAGAAGACAGAACTAGGAATGAGGGAGCCCGAAGCAAAACGAAAACCACTGGTACCAATCCTGGCCTTCATTTTAAATTTTCGAGTTGTCCTTGTTTTAGTGTGAATTTACTTGCATTGATTATATGTTTAAAAACACTGCACTAAAATGGCATCTCTGACGCCGCCTTGGGGTGGCTCCTTGGGGGGGGGGGCCCCCGGCCAGGCGGGGGTGGGGCTGGTTCCGGGGAGGGGTCTTGAGGGCTCTGTGCGCTTTCCTTCCCCTCAGGTTCCCCCCTCACCTGACGGCGCAGGTGGAGAGCGTGTGCTCGGCGGTGAGCCACACCGGGCAGCCCTGGGCAGCCCCCAGACAGCCTGGAGGGGCTGTTGCCTTTGGCCTCGGGAGCCGGGTTTGGGGACACCTTCTCCTCCACTTGTTTCTGCTTCCTTTGGGCGAGCGAGGTCACCTGTGCAGGCCGGCTGCTTCAAGAGCGTTCTTCCTCATGAGTACTAACCTTGCTGCAAAAGTTAGAAATTCCGTATTTACAGGAAGCGTTTGTGTGGCTGACAGCTCATCGTTGAGGGATGGGTAACAGGAGTCCCTGCTTGTGAGGAGCGTAGGTGCTATGTGGTGCTGTCTTCTAGAACTTTCTGCAGTGATGGGAATGTTCTATAGCAACATTGCCCAATATGGCACCCACCGGCCACATGTGGCTATTGAGAACTTGTGAGGAACTGAATTTTTAACTTAATTAAATTTAAATAGCCACACCTGACTAGCGGCTAGCTCCATGGACAGGGCACCCCTAGGGGGAAGAGCGAGACGAGTAAGTAGAGAAACGGGATTCACAAAATGTAGACACTATAAAGAAGACAGACAATGGTGGGGTGGACATGAGTAAAGATTTTGCACTAAGATAGTCAGGAAAAGCTTCTTGGAAGAAGTGATGTTCATGGGGAGATAGGGAAGATACGGAGGTTCTACCTTCCCTGAGAGAGCAAGGAAGGGCATTCCGGGCAGAGGGCACAGCCTGTGCAAAGGCCCTGGGGCAGGACTGGGCTTGGTGTGTTGGAGGGATGAGTGAGGAGGCCCTGTGGTTGTAGCAGAGGGAGGAGAGGAGGGAAGGGATGGGGGCGGGTGTGCAGTGGTTATGGGGAGTCTTTGAACTCCACATCGAGAATGAAATCCAAGGGCCTCCCTAATTAGCTTCTACTCTGTGTGGTAGGTGGTATCACCTTTGATGAGTGTAGTGACCAGAGAGGTCGAGCAGCTTGTCTGGGGCCACACAGTTGGGGAGAAGCATGCACAGCACTCGACTCCTCACTCTTGTCCACCTCTGTCGGCCACCTCCCACCACCTCCCAGTGTGATCCCTGCTGTTCTCTTGCAGCTCCAGAAGATCCGGCAGGGTCTCCAGGAGCATCACAAGCAGGTGAGTGAGTAACCAGGAGCTGGGGTATGGCTGCCCCTCCTTGAAAGGCAGGAAAATATAGGGAGAGAGGCCATGACAGGGCCAGGTGGTGGGGCCCCGTGGGGATGGGTGGGGAGGGCTTTTATCCGAAGGAGGTGGGAGCTCTGGAGGGCTGTGGGCAGAGGGGGGCAGGACCTGACCTGGGATTTCCCAGGGATCAGTGGATCCGGCCCCCCCCAAACACACACACACAAACACACACACCTTCCGGGTGTGTCTCCCACCCTCTTGGAGGCTCGTCCTTCCTGGCCCACTCCCGGTCCCTGTATGGCTCACAGGAGGCCAGGGGCCTTTCCAGCACGTTGCAGGTCAGTTGCTTCTGCTACGAAGGGCCTGTTATGTGCCAGGCGCACCCGGGTTCCGGCCTTCCATGTGTCTGAGCGTTCTCGGGGGCCTGGATCACACGTGAGCGGGGGGGGGGGCGCGGGGGGGGCAGGTCTGCACAGGGGGCCCAGGCTCCCAACACAGGGCGCCTTGCCCAAGCTGAAGCACGTCTTCCACTCCCGCCTGTCCTCCCGCCACCTGGCCCCTTTCTCCTGGGTGCTGGCAGGATTCTCTGCCTGTACCAGATGTGAGTGGCAGAAGGCCAGGGCCGTGTCTGCAACTCAGCAGGGCCCCGGGGTGGGCAGTGCGGGGAACCGGGAGAGACGGATCCAGAGTGAGGGGGGCCAGGAAGCAGCCAGAACACGGTTATTCATTCAACAGATATTTATCCATCACCTTCTTGCCCATGCTCTTGTAGGCGCCAGGGAAATTGGAGAGAAGGACACAGACAAACCTCTGCCCTCGGGGTGACGGGAGCTTGGTAAACAGAAGTGTCCGATGGTGAGGGCTGGGCAAGGTGCAGGGATGGATTAGAGCAGCCCGAGGGGACACGCGGGAAGGGGTGGGAGTGGCAAGGCTTGCTGAGAAGGTGACATTTGGGCAAACTCTTGAAGGAGATCAGAGAGGGAGTGCAGCTGTCTGGGATGGGAGGAACAGAGGGTACAGCCCATGCAAAGGTCCTGGGGCAAGACAGTGCCTGGTGTGTTGGAGGGACAGAGAGGAGACCCCTGTGGTTGGAGCAGTGAGGTGGGGAGGGCAAGGAGGGGACAGGGTAGGTCCTGTGGCATCTTGGGGGCCCTGGAGAGGACTTGGGCTGAAGTGGGAGCCCTGGAGGGCTGTGGGCAGAGGGAGGGGGAACCTGAGTCGTGCTCATGGGCGCCCTCTGGAGGAGAGGCTCTGGGCGCAGAGCAGGAGAACAGGACCATCTGGGTGAGGTGTGGTGGGGAGGACTGATCAGATTGTGGATTCAGGGGTGATCCCAACATAAGGATGTGAGGGGGTCTTGCCCAAGAGAGTTGCTGTTCAACCCACGAGCCTTGCTGGCCCTGGAGTCCTGCCAAGACTCCCCGCTGTCCTCTCCCCTCCGTCTGGGCTCCCGGTTTTCCCAGCCTCCCTGCTGTGCATTGAAAATCCCCCAGCGGCCGCCGCCTAGCCTGCGCTGCGCTCTCCCCAGGGAGGGCCAGCTAGCAGGCAGGAGGGAGCAGCGCTTTTCATGCTGAGTGCATTCAAGTGCCAGTAAATTGCGCATTAACGAGCCAGGCGAATTGGGGAAGGCTCCCCTGGGTCTGTGCTGCTGGGAGGCCCAGCTGGGAAACCCATCACCGGCTGCCGCAGGAGGTGTGGGCTCAGAGAGGGGGTCCCCGCTGCCCGGCCCCTCCCTCGCCATTCTGCCTGCCTGCCAACGGAAGCAGGTAAACACTGCCTGGCCCCTGTTCCTCCTGACTTGGGGAAATTGGCTTTGCTTCTCTGGGCCTCTGTTTTCCCATCTGCAAAATGGGAATGCCAGGAGCTCCTGGGAGCTAGGACCGGCCGCAGTTGGCACGGACGCTGCATTGCTTTATTCCTTCTTTCTTTGTGAATCAGGATGTTTTCCCAGGACTGGGGAGTTTGCCTTGGGCCAGAGCACTCTGGGGAGCTTCTTGGGGTCCACCACGGAGGGGCGTGCATCGATGAGGCCCAAGGGCGCTGCTTGGGGCGCGCAGACCAAAGACCAGACCTGGGCTGTCTTCTCTGGTGGCCACGGGACACGTGTGCCACCTTACAACAAGTGGCACGAGCCATGTTTCAAGGGCTCAGCAGCCACGTGAAGCCAGCAGCTACTGCATTAGACAGGCAGGCCTAGAACATTCCTGCTGTCACTAAATATCGCTGCACACATGCATGTTCCCGTGGAGCTCCCCATCAGCCCCAGAAGCTGGGTCTCCCCATTCTGAATTTCTGGGGACACTGGCCAGGAGGCTCCCATCTCGCCGGGTCTGCCCTCAGCCTGGACGCCGGGCCCGCGCTAGGGACCCCTGTTCTTGGCGCCTGTGACATCCACGTTGGTGGCCACTGGCCCGACGTGGCTGTTGAGCACCTGAGTGGGACTGGAGAGATCGCATTTTTCACTGGACTTCGCTTTATATTTAATAGCCGTCTGTGGCTGGCTGTTGGTCTCGAGGACGGAGTATGTCTCCTAAAAGGACAGGCAGATGCCTGTTGGTCAGGTGGAAGAAGGGAACTTAGATCTCTCAGGCCCTTCCAGGCCCGTCGAAACTGTTCACTTCGATTTGGAATTGCTGGTAGTCACGTGCCGTGGTTTTTAAGTATAAAATAAAGGACCGTGACCCTCCCACGGGGGTCCCCTATTGTCCTGCTGCCCGCCCTCCTCCCTAAGAGGTGATCACTGGTTTCTGAGCATCCTCCCAACACTTAAGCAAATTCAGGTGTCCCCACACAGAGGAACGTAGCTACCCACGAATTTGCTTCTTGAGGCCGTTTTAAGCAGAGTGGTGTTGAGGCTTTAGTTTTCTTTCTTCCTTATTTTAATTTTTTTTAAGATTTTATTTATTTATTTGAGAGAGAACACGAGCAGAGGGGAGGGGCAGAAGGAGAGGGAGAAGCAGACTCCCCACTAAGCAGGGAGCCAGATGTGGGGCTCGATCCCAGGACCCTGAGATCATGACCTGAGCCGAAGGCAGATGCTTAACCAACTGAGCCCCCCAGGTGCCTTGTGGCTTTAGTTTTCAAACCTCCTAAGAAAAGCAACTGGGAGGGGAACCCAGATTGGACCCTGCTTTCTACCACTTGATGCTGATGATCAGCCTTCAGGGTTGGGCTGTGGAGTTCTGGGTACGAAGAACTTGCTTTACGCTCTGTGTAGTGGGGGGGGGGGCTCTGCATTATCACGAATCCACCCCAAAACCTTCAAAGCAGGCTGTGTATCCCCATTTCACACGCTGGGAAGCCGGCTTGCAGGAGGAGGTCTGCACTCAGGCTGTCGGATGACAAAGGCTGAGCTGGGATGTGTCCTCTCCCCACCGCCCGCCCTCCCCGTCTAGGCAGAGAACTTCCTGCGGACCATGGAGACCTGGAGCCGACCGCTGGGCTTCCAGCCTGGGGAGGTGGGTGCCTGGGCCCTGGAGGAGGGAGGGGACCAGCTCAGAGCTGCCCCTCACACCCCTGGGCTTTGCAATACAGGCGAGCCTGGGCACCTCTGGGGAGCAGGCCGACCCGGACTCCTGGGGGCCGACCAGCCCGGAGGCTTCCCCACACCCAGTGGCCGAGACCCCACAGCCCTCCGGGCTCCAGGGGCCACCCTTCGAAGACGTCCTGGCTGCAAGGTCCTCAGACTGGCTCCGGCAGCCCTCTGGAGCCGACGCCGCCCCCGTCTCCCAGCCGGACACGCAGCCCCCCTGGGACCCTGAGCCCCGGTTTTGGCAGGATGTTCTGACCGAGCAACTCTGGCAGATCTTCGCGGGGACCCACAAGAAGGACCAGCTGCGACGCAGGAGTGAGTCTCCCTGCAGGTGGGGGATGGGGGTGGCCTGGGGCTGTGTCTAGCGACAGCACCGTTGAATCCTGTTGTTCTACTGGCTCCCCGTCTGTTGTATCAGCGACGACGGAGCAGGCGCCAGGCCTGGTGAGTCACTCTGCGGCACCTGGAGGGGTGGGCCCCTCAGGTCGGGTTGTCCGGCTTCCTGTGGGGTCAGTCCACGGCTTCCACCCCGGCTTCCCTTAGAGGACTCAGGCCTGGGGACTTGGGGCTGTTGACGAGTTTGTCTACACTGCCTGGGCCTCCCCAAGGTTTTCTGGGTCTAAGACCGACCCTGGGCAGGTCCTTTGGTCTGACCTGATTGCCCCGATTCCTGTGGGCAGGAGAGCCAGGACCCAGGACCACACGACTTGGGACTGGAACCAAGCGAAAACACTTTGGGTAATCCCGGTGAGGGGGCGGGGGGGCAGGGAGCCTGCTCCCAGGAGCCCACACCTGCCACTCATCTCTCTCTTCTCCAACCAGTGCCCAGCCCACCTGCGCCCTCCCCCAGCTCCCCCGAGGGCTCCCGAGAAGGGAGCGCAGAGCCAGGCCTGGACGCAGAGGGGATGCTCTCCCCCCGTGTGGCCCAGGTGAGGCCCCATCCTCAGTGTCAGCCTCCATGAAGGCTGAGAGGGCTGGGGCAGAGGGAGCTGACATGGCTCTGCGTGATCTTGGTCCTACAGCAGGAACCTGCTGGGAGAGCCTATCCGTTCCTGAAGCCCATGTAAGTCTCTATGTTGTCCCTCTTGTCTGTACTTCTGTCCCTGTCAGAGAAGGGACTGGAGGTGCGGGTGTGTCTTCCCCTCCCCCACCACCCTGCTACTGTGCTCGATACCCAGAGCTGAGGGGACTGGGTAGTTACCATCAGGCTAGCATCACTGTCCCTCCCCACATAACTAGCTCTGGGTTCCAGGGATTTGGGGAAAGAACTCCCATGGAAAGGTGTTAGAGCTAGATACACACAGTCCCAGGCTTGTGGTCGGAGGCTGGGGGAGCCCAGAGGGGGACGAGAAGGCTTTCCTGGAGGGAAGGGGCATAATGGTTAGGATTTTGATGGATGAGTAGGAGTTTGCTAGGATGGGACAAAGCATTCCAGGTGGAGGAGAGTGATGTTTGGTTCTAGGAGAGGGAGAATACTGGAAAGGACGTGGGCAGCCCCTGGGGGGAAGCCCGTGTAGTAGGGAAACCAGGTCTGAGCGAGAACCCCCACATCTGAAGAAGAATGAAGCTCCTCAGGCTTGAGGGGGGCCCCCTGTGGGCAGAGAGGCTCCCAGGTAGGCCGGTGACCCCGAGGCCTCCCCTCCCAAGATGCTGGGACCCTGAGGACTTCGAGGACATGTGCAAGAGACCAGACGCCTTGCCGGGGCAATCCAAGAAGGCGGCCATCCCACACGGAGCAGAGAAGATGCGGACGCTAAAGCATGGGGAGCCAGTGCTGGCCACAGCCGTCAGCAGCTTCACGCGACATGCGTTCACCTGCGGCCGGGGCGGCGTCAAAGTGTGGAGCCTGGTGGGCCAGGGGCTAGAGGACCAGTATCCTGAGAGCCACCTGCGCGTACAGGTCGGGGAGGGGCTGGCCCTGGGGGCGGGGCTCTTGGGAGCAGAGCTCCCGCAGCAGAGGACATTCAGCTGCATCCACGCCCGCCCCAGACCCACCAGGCCTACCTGCGCACCTGCCTGCTGGCCCCGACCAGCACGACCCTGCTGACGGGCGGCCACAACCTGGCCAGCGTGAGCGTGTGGGACCTGACCGCGCCCTCCCTGCGTGTGAGCAACGAGCTGCCCTGTGCAGGCCTCACCTGCCAGGCCCTGGCCTTCGGCCCCGAGGACACCCTGGCCTTCGCTGGCTTCACGGACGGCACAGTCAGGATCTGGGACCTGCGGGACCAGAGCATTGTCAGGTGAGGCCTAGGGCTGGTGGGCTCATCCTGAAAGCCCCTTCCCACCGCAGGCCCTGAGCAGGGATCCAGCAGTCCCAAGGCTAAAAGCCCCTTGACTGCTTAAATTTGCATTTGAGAGTGTTGGGGGCCTGAGTTCAGATTCTGACTGGGTTTCTTCAAAGCCCAGTCATGGTACTTGTTGTCAGCCTCAGTTTCCCCATCTGTCACCTGGGTGTGATTGCGTAGGTGGTATTCCTGGGGCTTGGCTCAGAGTCTCAGCCCTGACCCCTTCCGCACACCCCTTCTGGTCAGGGACCTGCAGGGCCCCCCGAATGGAGCCAAGAGCATTGCTATCAAAGACCAGAACATCTGGACGGGGGGGCTGGACACCTGCCTGCGGTGCTGGGACCTGAGGACCCCCGGGGAGCCCCTGGAATACCAATTCGAGTCTCAGGTGTGTGGCCTGGGATGGGCCTTGGGCTAGAGAAGGAGGTGGATATTGCGGGGCGGGGGGGGAAGGGGGTAGTAGGACCCCACGTCTGATCGGTGCTGGCAGGAATAGGGTCATGAGAAATGTCCTCTCCCCCCACCCCACCTGGCCCCGATAACATTGGACACTTACATACTCTGTATCAGGTGCCCATGCCCCATTTAGTCCCTTAAGGTAAAGAGGACCAACCCACTTTACAGATGAGCAGACTGAGGTCCAGAGGTGTGAGGTTGCTTGTCAGGGCCTCGAAGCCAGGAAGCTGGAAGGAGCTCAGCCCCCAGGGTGGGTCCCTGTGCCCCTGACCACCTCTCAGGCCGGGCTGGGACCTGACCGGCCTCTTCCTTGCTGCCCATTCCCCAGATAATGAGCCTGTCCCCCAGTCCCCAGGAGGATTGGGTTCTGGTGGGCACAGCCAATGGGCAACAGTGGCTGCAGCCCACCCGAGGGGGCCAGAAGCACATGGTGGGGTGTAAGGACAGCACCATCCTGGGTCTCAAGTTCTCTCCGCTCGGTGAGTGGCCAGGAGGGGGCGGGGGAGTCCCCTGTGGCCCCCAGCCTCCCACAGGGTCCTGTCCCACCCTTCCTGACCACCCCCCCCCATCGCCCTTCATCAGCAGAAATTCTCAGTGATGCTGTCCATGGGGGTATAAGGGAGGAGGGGGGCTACCTCTGTGCCCCAGGTCCCCAGGGGCCCTGCCCTCAGCTGCCAGATTTCCCACCACCCAGTCTCCTTCTCCCCATCCCAGGCCAGTGGTGGGTGAGCGTTGGGATGGACGACCTGGTCAGCATCTACGGCATGCCCGCGGGGACCATGGTGTTCCAGGTACCACTGCGGGCCAGGCGCAGGGCGGGGCGGGGGGGCAGCGCTCGGCTCCGGGTGCTGAGTGCAGGGGTCCTGAGAGGGACCAGGCTTGAACTGACGGGCAGAGGGAAGGGGTAGGGGTGGGTGAGCCCCCTCAGCTCATACTGGCCTTCCACCTTCCAACAGGTACCTGAGACCTCCTCCATCCTGTGCTGTGATGTGTCCCCCAACAACCGCCTGATCATCACCGGGTCCAAGGACCACGCCTCGGTGTACCAGATCACCTACTGAGGGGCTTGGCATGGTCATCCTGACTCAGGATCATTTTTTGTTTTTGGTTTTTTTTTTTGTTCTTTTCCTCAAGGTGGAGGCTTTGTGGTGGAGGGGTGTGGTGGGTGGGCCGGGTTTCCTTCCCATTGCACATGTAGTAAAGCAATTGGAAAAAAGCAGAGTGAATCTGTCCTTTTCTGTCCCCCGCCTGTCTTGTAGAAGTTTGGAAGGACTTTGACCACCTGGGTCTCCCAGCCTCGAGTCCACAAGCACTGAGAATCTCCTCAAAGCCACTGACCCCCTGTTGGGAGTGGGGGTGGATATGGACCCCTTCCTCCTGTTCCCTCATCTCCCAGAGAGGGGGTTTCCCATCCAGGGATGGGTTCCCCCACCCTTCCCAAGACACCCTGGTGCATCTCACCTGAGGATGAACCCAACCCCCCAGGGGGGCACATGGCAACATCTGTGGACATTAGTGGACATCATGACTTTGGGGGGGTATGCCTGGCATCAAGCGAGTGGGGGCCAGGGATGCCACTCGGCCCTCCACTGCCCAGGACGCCCCCACAGAGAGTGACGGGTCCCAGTGTCAGCAGTGCCGGGCAGGGAGAGGGTAGTCGACAGCAATCGCCCGTTGGCTGGCTTCTCATTCCACCCTCTTCGTGCCTGGGGGCTCTCACGACAGCTTTGCTCACCCTGTCCCTCCAGGATAAGCGTCCCAGAAGGTGCCGACGTGTCTGCTTTCCTTACCCAAAGAATTATCCTCGCCCCAAAAAGTGCCTCCAAAACTCCAGCTGGGTCTGACTTGTTTTCCCCGAGGGGCCCGGCCATCTCCGTCCAGGAGATTCCCAGCAGCACCCCGGCTCCACCCCCAGTCCCTCCACAGCTGCCCACGGGAGCTTCCAGAACGTCGACCTGATTATACGGCCCCGCCCCAGGCTGGCCCCCCCACCCCCAGGCTGACTCCCCTCCCACCCTGCCCCCAGGCTGGCCCCGCCCCTGTCTGGCCCCGCCCCCGGGCTGGCCCACCTCCCGTAGGCTCTCTCTGCTTCAGCCTGGGCTGGAGGCCTTGTTCTCCCTGGAGCTGAGGAGGAGCAGAGGAGGAGTACCCTGCCCGCCTGGTTTCCACCTGGCCTCGCTCCTCACCTCCAAGCCTTTGCACATGCTGTTCCCTCTGTACCCACACAGTCTTGCATCACACACCCACACACACACCCACGAAATGGCTGTTTCTCCTTGTCGGCTCTCAGTTTACCGTCCCCTCCTCTGGGACTGCGGTGTTTGCTCAGCACCTTAGGGTGGGCAATGCGTCCTCGTGCACCAGGCTCTCAGGAATTATCCGTGGGTCAAAGGCAAGCACCCCAAAGAGCTATGTGCGCCACTGTATTCCCCAAGCCACTGTACGTGGGCAGCGTCTTGGGATGATTCTGTCCAAAGGGCTGGCGGTAAAAGCGACCCAGGCAGCTCTGGGGCCAGAGCACTGAAGGCCTGTGTGACTTCCTCACCCCTGCGACGTTGGACCCCGAAGCTACATGTTGTGATGGCAGAAACTCCACCATCCTGGAGCCCCGAGTGTCTGCCGGGAGCCGAGCCCCACCAGCCAGGGGCACACAGGTGAGCGAGCGATCAGTGCCTGTTGTGTTCAGTCACTGAGGTCCGCGGGCGGCTGGTGACGTAGGTCACTTAAGCCGTGCTCCCCGGTCCCACCCCTGCCGCCCGCAGCCGACCCGGCGCTAGTTCATGCAGGACGAACTCCTTCATCGTCCAGAAAAGGCACAGGAGGCTGAGAAAAGGAAAGCCACGTACCCGCGGCTACACAGCCCTCCCGCAGGAACGGTGCCCAAGAAAAGCAACAGTCCTGGTTCTCCAGCCCAGTACAGAAAGGCAGTTGCGATAAATACATTTATTTCCCCGAAGTCCACCTGCCCGTCCAGCCCCACGTCCAGCAAGGGAAGATGGGAGGGAGTCAGCCAGAGGGCAGACGAGACTTAGCACTCACAGGTATGAATGGAGAGGGGGTGGGTCGGGGTCTCTGTCCGGGATGCCCCTCCCCTAGGAGCCGGGCCAAGGGTGCAGGAAGATGGGGGGTCTCAGTAGACCACCTCGTACACGGTGGCCTTCTTGTCCCCTGAGCCTGTCACAATGTACTTATTATTTCCGGAGATGTCACAGCTCAGCACGGAGGATGATTCCTTGGACTATGGACAGGGATGGGGGGAGGGAGAAAAGGGGGAGGTGAGACGGGGCCTTGCACAACGTTCAGAGGGAAGAGGCAGGGCAACTGGGGAGTGCCTGCCCCGAAGGATGAGCCTGTGGTCAAGGCTGGGGCTGAGACAGGACTCGGGATAGGGGAGCCCGCAGTGGGGGGCCAGGACTCTCCCAGTCGGGGGGCAGATGATGGGGGAAGGAGGGTGACACATTTTTCCAGAGGAAGGTCCGCTGGAATCGAGCCTCTGGACAGTGACAGTGCTCCTGGGAAGGGCAGGACCTCTGTGCTCCTGACACCAAGAGGGACGGAACTGAAGCCCTGCCCTTTCGTAGGCAGCTCAGAGAGAGTGTGCGGTAGGCATGAGGCCGCACAGCACGGCGGAGGGCTAGCTAAGGCTACTGCACAACGACCTACAGCAGCAAATCTTTCCTGTAAAGGGCCCAGCGAGTTCTCCGGCTTTGCCAAAGGCCCAGATAAGTCTCTAGCCAATAAGTCCAGAAGCCAAATAAATCTATGTCACATGATTCTCCTTTTGTTTTCCTGCCCTTAAAAAATGTAGACATCCCCCCATACCCATTAGGATGGCTATGACCAAAAAAGACACAGTAAGAAGTGTCGGTGAGGATGGGGAGAATTTTGAACCCGCGTGCGCTGCTGGTGGGGTGGAGAATTGGAAAAACAGTCTGGTAGTTTGTCCCAAGGTTACACAGTTATCAGCAATTCCACTCCAAGACATCTGCCCGAGAGAGATGAACACGTGCCCACAGCAGCAGGATTCACAACGGCCAAAACGTGGAAGCAACCCACGTTTCCATCAACAGGTAGATGGGTAAGCACAATGCAGCCCATCTATACCAGAGGATATGATCCAGCCTTAGGAAGGAAGGGACCCCGACACCTGCCACGATGCGGAGGGACCCCCAGGACACCGGGCTCAGTGAGAGGAGCCAGACCCCAAAGGACACATCCCGCAGGACCCCACTCCCAGGAGGTCCCCAGAGGAGTCCCGTCCACAGAGACAGAGGAGAGGGTGGGAGCCAGGGCTGGGGCAGGGGGTGGGGAGTCCGTGCTTCGTGGGGACAGAGTCTCCATGTGGGGAGATGGAAAGTTCTGGAGACAGAGGGTGGGGGTGGTCTCAGGACAGGGTGAGTGTGCCTCATGCCGCTGAACGGTATACTTAAAAATGGCTAAGATGGTAAGTTTTATATGTCTTTAAAAAATTAAATACACACACACACACACACACACGAAGAACCCAGGCTGCAGGCAGGTACGGCCTTAGGGCCACAGTGTGCAGACCCTGCTTTAGTAGCTTGCTGGCTGAGGTTGGGGGGGGCACTTGGAGGACCCTGGGGAAGTTCCACGGTTTACCCACCAGTGCAGCCACCCTGGGGCCCCTGTTCGCACGGCGTCCTGCCCTGCCCTGCCCTGCCCTGCCCTGCCCTACGGTACCTGGAAAATGCTGGCTCCATACGGTGTCCTCCAGGCGTTGAGCAGGTTGTCTTTCCCAGTGCTCACAAACCAGCGCCCTGGGGAAGGGGGGGTGGGGGAGTTCTAGGAGGGAGGAACTGAAGATGGGGGGGCGCTGGCCTCTCCCTTCCTGGCACCTCTGCTCTCACAAGGGAAACACTGGGCCCGAGGGGGCTCCGTCTGGACTTTGAGAAGGGGGAGTCCCCAGGAGAGGGCTGCCAGATAAAATCTGGGATGTCCGGTTACCTTCGAATCTCAGAAAAACCACAAATCACTTTTAGTACAGATGCACCATGAGTGTTTCATGATTTATTATTAATTTTTAGTATATGGGTGTGTCCCGTGCAATACTTGGGACGTACTTATACTAAAAATCGTTTGGGTCTTTTTTTTTTAAGTGTAAGTATATCTCATGCACTAGTTAGGATATATTTGCATGAACAAACGAGTGGCTTTTAGTGTAAGTATGTCCCAATGCAATACTTGGGAAAAACTTACACTAACAAAGGATCTGCTAAGATTCAAATTCCACCGGGCATCCCGTGTTTTGTCGTGTGGGTTGTTTGTGGTGTGCTGTGTTTTGGCAGCCCCATCCCAGCGCCCTGGAGCCCTGCCCAGCCCGAAGACCCACCGCAGGAGGCGAATTTGAGGGCGAGCACACAGCTCTCGTGAAGGTGCAGCTGGTACTTCTCGGGCTTGCGGACATGTAGAACCTCCACGTTGCTGCTCTCCATGCCGACCGCCAGCCAGTCCTGGTTGGGGCAGTGGCCCAGGGAGAAGATCTGGGGGGTGCAGAGGGAAGATGGGAGATCAGAACCCCCTTCAGATGGTGGAGGATGCCCGGGGGGCGGGAGGAAGAGGAGAGGCCCAGCGCTCTCCCCGTGGCAGCCCCGCACGAAGAGGCAGCTGGCCCAGGGCCTGGAACACAGCAGGCAACTGCATGTCGAATCATTAATATTAATCAGAATTACACGGAACCCTGGGGCCTCACATCCATTATCCGGTCTGAACGCACAACAGCTCTGGGAGGGAGGGAAGAGGGAAGAGCGTGAAGCCGGGTGAGGACAGTCGCCTCCCCCCCCCGTGAGCAGATGGTGGAAGGCAAGCTGAGACCCCGGCTCGCTCAAGGTCACAGATCCGTGAAGGATCGGGCCTTCGGACTCCCAGCTTGGAGCTCTCCCCGCTTGCCAACACCTCCTCTGACTTTGATCTGAAAGGGCTCGGTGGCCTCACCGTGCCATGCCCCAGCCCGAGGGAGGCATAGTTCCACCCGAAACATCTCAAAGTCTTACTGCCAGGACACGTGTGGAAAGAACCATAAATTGAGAGCAGAGAGAAGACTGGGAGGTTTTACATGTTCTCTCCTTGGCCATACAGAAGTGTTCCTGTATACAGACAGGAGGCCCAGCAGGATGGGAGACACTCACCATGGGATCCCCAGAGAACAACCCATCTAAGTTTCAGGGACAAGGGACAGACAACTATATCCACCTGCACCCCTGACTTCCTTATCAAAGAAATTTTAAGCTAAAGAGAAGGTAGAATAGAAAGAGTTTGGGAGTTAGCTACCCACAGGCTTCAAGGAAGGGGGCAAAATGGAGATGGGTTTTGAAGGATGAGCAGGTAGGAGTTCACCAATTTGTCAAAAGGAAGGGAAAAGCATGTCAGCTGGAGGGAACCATCAGTGGAGAGATCTAGAGGTGTGGCAGGGCATGGTGTGTGTGAGAATAGAGCGTGGGGGTCTTAAATATCAGGCCAAAGAGCTCACACCCTGCCCCCAAAGCAGAGGGAAAGAGGATCTAGGTGACTCTGCTCAGCCCTGAGGAGCCCTCTGGTTCTGTTCAGCCCCTTCACTACATCCTTCAGTCTGGACTCGCACAATGCCCTCAACAGAGACCTCTGTCCAACTCCCAAGTCAACCTCTACCTGTCCTCCCAGATCACTGGCTCCCCCATGGTGAGTCCGAGGGGGTGGTCAGGAACTCTCAGTAGGGTCAAGAGATTGAAGGTCCGGAGGAGAAACGAAGGAATGGGAGAGTGGCTCCGCACAAGCATCTGGAAAGGCGACCTGAGGGTCTTAGTAGGCCCACAGCTTACTATGAATCAGTTCCTTTATGCGTCCCTATATCTGTCCCTGGAGAATTAAGGGGGAAGCCTGCGGATGCGTCCGAAGGACAAAAACGACGGGCAGACAGCAGGTACTTGGTCCCACTCAGCCCATGGAAGGGAGTGCCTTGGGTGGAGAGGAGGGGTCTCCGGATGCCCGAACCTTCTAGGGCCCTCCCAGCAGACGCAGTGCCGCACCTGGGAGCTGAAGTCGTGCTGCTGCAGCTGGCGGCCCTCCCGCAGGTCCCAGCAGCGCACCGTGTTGTCCAGGCCCCCGGTCCAGAGCCGAGTGCCGTAGTCGGAAATGTCGATGCAGCTGGCACCGTCCGTGTGGCCCTGGAACTGCCTGCGGGGAGAAGGGCCCAGGCGACCGTCGTGGGGCGGGACCCCCCCACGCCACTCCTCCGCCCCCCACAGCCTACGGGCCAAGGGGGCGGCGGCCGCCCACCTGACCATGGTCTGGTTCTGCAGGTCCCAGACCACGATGTTGCCGTCGCTGCAGCAGGAAAAGCAGACCTTGGCGTCGGGGCTGACGGCCAGAGCGTAGCAGGCGGGGGCCGAGGAGGTCAGCTCCGCCTTGATGCGCGGGGTGGGCGCCGCCAGGTCCCAGATGGACAAGGTGCTGGCCTCGCCGCCCACGATTAGACTCCGGCCGTCGGGCAGCAGCTTGCAGGAACGAATGTAGTTGTCCCGGTTCTGGGACGGAAGAGAAGCAAGGGTGTAGGGCCGGCCCTCCGGACCCGGCCTCCCAGCGCCCGGCGCCAGGTCCCGGCTCCGAGGCTGCGAGCCCCGCCCCCGCCGTCGGACAAGCCCCGCCCCCGCCGCCGGACAAGCCCCGCCCCCGCCCTCACCAGGCAGTCGAGCTGCGCCACCGGCGTCTTGGCGCCCGGCTGCCCCACGTCCCACACTTTCACGCAGCCCTTGCCGCCCGTGTACACGTGCTGCGTGGAGCCGCTGATGGTGACGGCGCAGACCACCTCGCCGTGCGCCAGCGTGTGCAGCTGCCGCGCGTGCCGCGGGATGCCGGCGCCCACGAGCGCGTCCGAGGGGAAGGGCACCGGCTGCATCTGCCCGTCGGCAGACACGTGGAAGGAGTAGGCCCTGCGCCGGAGGAGCAGGAGGAGGGCCGTGACGCGCGGGGAGGGGACCGCCGCGCCCTCTCCCCCTGCCCCCGGGGCAGGGAGGTGCCTTCCCCGGCCCGGTGCCCCCATGCGTTTGGGGAAGGAACCCCATGATCACAGGTGACCCGGCAGTCAGCGTGGTACAAAAGAGGAGGGGGTCCTAGCCCTAGCCCGGCGCCCCGCCCGGTGCCTGGTAAGCAAGCCCCGAGTAAATGCTGAGTGGGGAGGATCCATCCAGGGAGATGCCATGCCGGGAGAGCTCCAGAGAATGGGACCCAGTAGTAACACCAGCCACATGTGGCCGGTTATATTTAAATACATTTACAACTTCAGTTCCTCAGTGGCAAAAGCCACAGGCGGCCGATGGCGATGGCAATCACTGGACAGCTGTAGGTCCAGAACATTCCCCATCGCGGCAGAAAGTTCCTGGGTTCTTGAGGCTGGGTCCATCTCTGGGTCCACGCACTGCAGGGTGTGCAGCAGTATCCCTAGCCCCCACCCACTGGGGGCCAGATGTGGGTGTGACAACTAAAAATATCACCAGACATGCCAAATGTCCTGGGGTGGGGGTGGGGAAGGCAAAATACCCCTCCCCCCTCGTTGAGAAACAGTGGTCTACATTTTGCTTGTTACACACCGCTCTCTCCAGAGAGCTCCTCCAGGAGAACTTCTGGAAATGCAGCAGGGAACCCCAGCCCCCACCCCACAACGTAAGCACCTGACAGGAGGCAGGGAGCCCCGAGCCAATACGCACGGCTTTCCGCCAGGAAGAGTGGGCAGGGAGGAGGAGAGGGATGACCCTCGGAGATGAGGATGACACTCGAATGCCATCTGTCAAAAATGCCAGAGGGGGTGTCACAGGGCAGGTGACTCAAGCCCACCTGTGCCTTCCCCCAGGCTCATCTGCCATATTTCTCTGTTTCTCAGAGGATCCCCCATCTGTCCATCAGCCCCTCCCCAAGAGGCCGGAGATGCCTGGTCCTCCACCCACACTGCAGCTAGGAGAGCAGAGGTTTTCACTTGCGGGACCCCAAAGCCTCTGCCCAGGGAATCCCAGAATCCCAGAGTCGGAAGGACCCTGAAGAGTCTTTCTGACCTGCTCTAGAGCGAGAGTTGGCAAACTATGGCCCCCTGCTCGTTTTTGTAAATAAAGTTTTATTAGTACACAGCCACACCGGTTCATTTATATGTTGTCTATGCTGGCTTGGAGCTATGAAGGCAGAGGTCCAACTGGTCCAAAGCCAAAAGTAGTTACTGCCTGGGCTCCTGCAGAAAATATTTGCTGACCTCTTTTCTACAACGTCCCTCACAAGTGCCCACCCCGCCTGGGGTCTGGCATGTCCCCAGTGACAGCATTTCCTTCCCTCTGGAGGCACCCTGGTCCACTTCAGGGCGGCTCACTCTATCAGCCATCTGTCCCCGCACTGCCCTCTGGGGCCCACACAGCCCCTGTCTGCTCCCTCTGCCCCAGCTCAGGGGTCTCTTGCCCCACTCCTTCAACTCCTTCTCATGAGACCTCACTTCCAGTCCTCTCCCCAGGCTAGTCCTTCGTCTGCAGTCTACTACAATCGTTGCAGTCTCTTAAAACTCAGGGCTACCAACTGGACGCCCTCTGCCAGGAGGCTGAATGGGACTCTCAGCCCCATGGCTGGGGCTCTCTGCTCCTTACAATGCAACATACTCACTGTTGCTTCTTCCAGTTATAGGTGCTTATTTGCATTACGCTTGTGGGCTACTGAGACCCTCAGATCACCTTCCCACAGGCACATGCACTTGCCAAGCCGGGTTCCCAACCCTTTCCCTTGTCTCTCCTTATGTAAGTGGTTTCTCCTCCCGGCCCCCAGCCCCTGTGCCCTGCTGGTGCCCCCACGCCGAGGACTCACCATGGGGGACCGTCCATACACTACAGAGCCGCTGACTTGGGGGGACAGGTGGAGGCTAACGTAGGAGCTGGGCACAGAGAGGTCCCCATTAAGGGCGCTGTGGGAGCTCAGGCTGAAGGATGTGGTGAAGGGACTGGACAGTGTCAGGGGGCTCCTCAGGGCTGAGTGAGAAGAGACAAAGATAGGTCTTCAGACACCTTGGACCCAGATCCAGCCTTCCACGGCCTTGGCTGGTCACTGGGGCTGCTGTGGTCTGGTCCAGCATCCACCACACCCTTTCAAGTTTCCAGATGTTTGAGAATAGTTCCCTCTGGCTGACATGGGTTCCCTTTCCTTCCTCAGCCGCTGAACTCCTACTCACCCTTCAAAACCTAGACCCAATGTCCAGCAATATCTCAGGAACATCCCTGAGCCTCCTCACCACACCCCTAGCCTCTAACCTTGCCCATTTTGGTTCCCTCCCTCTACCCTAGCCACGATCACACAGGGCTAGGAGTTTTGGGGTCTGGGTCTCCTTCCCCACCATCTGGGAGCTCCTCGAGGGCAGGTTCCAGGGCTGATTTCTTTTTGGGACCCCAGGACCAGCACAGGGGCCATAAGACAGAAAAGGAGAACATGTCATCCCCACATTAATGATGGGGAACCTGAAGCTCAGAAAGGTTGAGTCACTTGCCCAAGGTCACACAGCTGATGAGTATCCAAGGCTGGCCTCAACCCCAAGGCTGTCTGACTCCACAGCCTGTCTGCTTCAGTGCCTGTCCGAGTGCACTAGGCTAAAGCTCTTGAGTAAATCATTTCCCCTCTGGGCCTCAGTTTCCCCACCTGTCAAGCCAAGACAGCGAGGAGACCGAAGCCCAGGGTGAGTCAGCACTGGGCTCAGAGTCCTGGAAAGGCCAAGGCCATGCCAGACCTGGATTCAAACCTCCTGCTTTCCCCACTCCCTACCATTTTCTAGAACCCGCCCCTCCAAGAGAGCTGTTCTGACAGGCCCCAGCAGACGCTCACCAACACTGTCCGTGCAAGGTGCTGGCTTGGCAGCAAGCTGGCGGAGGTGACCGGCTGAGCTGGGCCCGGGGGTGGACGCATCCTGGGGCGGGGAGGAGTCGCAGGACTTGGGGGCAGGAGTGCTGGCGGGAAGGTCGTTCTGGGGAGAAAGGTCAGGACTGATCACCCCCTGGCACCTGGCACCTGGCAGCCCACGAACTGGTGAGAAACTAGGTGGGAGAAGGGAGCAGGTACATCCACGCTAGGCCAGGGCTCGGGGGAGGTGCCCGCACGCCAAGCAGCGCCGCTCTGCGGTTTCGGGGGCGTGCCCCCCCGCCCCCCCCCCACTGATCCCCTGAGCATGGGGACAGGCGAGCGTCTGCACACGGGGAGCGCCAGGCGGGTGCCTGAGCAGGAGGGAGCACAGCAGGGCAGGAGCCTGCGCGAGTATAGTAAGGCACGCAATGCGATACACGGTCAGGAGTGCGGTGTAGACTGGCCTTGAGCAGGAGCACGCCTGCAGGGAGTGGGCTTGCAAGAGAAGGCCGCAGGAAGTCGGGAGGCTGTCCTGTCCTTTGGGGCCGAGGAATGGGAAACTCGTGGGGAGGGAGAGCACGCGGTGCCCGCCACACGCACGCCCACGAGGGGGAGTGGGAGGCGAACACGTGGGACAGGGAGGCCTCGGGGCCGCTTCTCTGGGAGAACAGAGCTGCCCCTCCCCCTCTGGTCTCCTGAAGTGGAGGAGGTCACCGAAGATGCCTTGGGAGCCCCAGCCTCTGCGGTCGCCATGGCAACCTGCTGGGAGGGGAGGCCTGGAAACCGACGCACTCTCTGGGTAAGTGCAGGGGAGGGGTCTGGGGAAGGGGCGGGACAAATGGCGCCCAACTGTGAACGTCCAGGGGGGAGAAGCTCTTCGGGGGTTCCTACACCTGGCACTGAGAAAGTTGTTCCCATAGTAATCCTCTTGCCTTTCGGGGACAGGGATGACAGCTCAGGTGGGGCTGGTGCATCCCCAGCGCCTCTCAAAGGCTTTAACACTTGAGGGGCTGGAGTCGGAGTCGGCCTCGGCCTCGGCCTCGGCCTCGAGAGCCTGCATCCTCCAGCTCACTGTGTTCATCTCCAAGGGGCTTCCTATTTCTTGCAAGAGATGCTTGGCTTCTCCACAAGATGGTGAGTGGTCTTTTCTTATGTATTTAGGTTCCCCAGAGCCAGTCCACTTGGGAAAAATGCTTGGGTAGAGTAGAGGCGGTGTTCAGGAAGGTGGCAAAGAATCAGAGCCTGGCTGGTTTCTCCCCACTCCACACCTAATGTGGTTGCACCTGTTTCCAGGTCCCCAGGATGAATAAAGTGAGTTTCAAGGCCTCCCCTACTCCTTACCAGGACAAGCTCCTTGGCTCTGGGGAGTGGGGAGCCGAGGCTGGAGGCCAAGGAGGCCGGGCTGTCCACAAGGTCCCGATGGGCAGGGACGCAGATGGGTGCCTTTCCACACGGGGTGGTAGCTGGGCTGGGGGACTCCGAGGGTTGGTCCTGGGTTTGAGGAGGTGACGTTAAGTGGAGATGAAGTGGGCGAAGAAGGAGAGCCTCTCTCTATACCCCTCCCAAGCCCCATCCCACACTCCAGACCGGGCACCTACGATCCACCTGGGGAGGATTATGAAGCCCCTGCCGCCATGCCTTACTTTACTCATCTGTACAATGGGACCGACAGTACCCACTCCTTAAGCACACACAGCGACTACTATGTAAGGGCTTTTGTTGTCCCCCACTGAACAGATGGGGAAAAGTGAGACCAGGGAAGGCAGCACAGTCCCCCAGTCACACAGTGAGCCAGGGCTTGAAGCCACTTCTGCTGCCCATCCCGTGTCCTCTGGGCCTCAGTTTCCCCACCTGCGCTACAGAGAGGAGGTCGGCTTGAGGTGTCCCCCTATCCCCTACTCCCATGCCACCCTCATCCCAGCCTTCAACAGAGAGGGGGCCAGGACCCCCCTTCCCTCTGGGCCCCCCAACACTCTGGAAAACCTACCGCTCGCTGTGCCCAGACCTCTGAGTCCCGGAAGTCAGAGGCTGGACCCCGACTCACCTCGTCCACCACCAGGTTGTAATCGCTCTTGTCTTCGTCACTCTCCTGGGGGGACACGGGGGAGAGAGCTTACCCTGGCCATGCCCCTGCCTCCACGTCCCCTTACTCATCCTCAGGAGGTGGGGCATACACGGGGCCAGCCCCAGTCTGATCAGGATTCTGGGGCTCCAGAGGCCCCTTTGCTTGGTTCAGAAAGAAGGTTGCCATTTGCTCAGGTGCAAAGGGGGATTTGGGAGGGTGGGTGGGTCCCTCATGGAGGAAAATGAGGGGGATGGAGCTGAGTACCCAAGACTTGCAGTGGGGCCCTGAGTGCCTCCCAGCCCTCCCTGGGTCTGTTTCCTGCTCTGTGCAGTGAGGGGACAGCCAGAGACCAGGAGTCATCCAGACCTCCCTCCTGGCTCTTACTCCACAGAGTCAATCAACCTCTCAGGATTGTCCGTCTCATCTACCCATCTGCCCACCCCCATCCCCATGGCCTAGCAGAGACCTCATCCCCGCCTTAGCCTCCTGGACTTCAGCCTTGCCCCCTCCAAGTAGTCCTCCAAGCTTGCCCCAGAGGGATTTTCTTAACACCTGTCCCCACATCTGTTCTACCTCCTTCTGTGGCTCCCCATCACCCTTGGGAGAAACAATGTTGTCTGGGGCTGCCCTCTGGTCTAGCTGAAAAGCAAGGGAAGACCAAAGCCTGCAGCCCGAAGGCCACATCTTCCCAGCAGGGGGGCATTTCTTTGACCCCCCCATCCCCAATTTTCTTCTTTAAAACAAAATGAGTTGCTGACACGTATAGAACAGCTGTTATGATTGTTGAAGACTAAAGGCATCTCTGAGAAACAGAAGGATTGGCCAATACTGGGCCTGCCAGGAGGCTGGGACCAGGTTAAGGCTGTTCCTGTGGATGAGACAGGTGCTTCCCCACCAGCCACAGTCCCAGCCCCCACTTTCAGCCTGGCCCCTGCGGTGCCAGAGGCAGAAACTACAGGTACAGTGCTCCTCCAGTGAGGGAGGGGGTCCCGGCCCTGGAGAAGGGGAAATTCTAGATGGCTGAGCCATAGCCAGGAGGTAGGAAAACAGATGCCTGGTCCAGAAGCTACAGAGACAGAGCAACTAGAGCTGGGCCTGGCCCCATAGGGGCTCTTCTGGTTGCTCAGTGCTCCCTGGGCAATGGGGAGCTACGGAAGGCTGTAGAATGAGAGTCATGGCCAGAGCTGGGCTCTGGAAGGCTCTGAGGAGCACGGCTGGGGGCCCACTCCAGTCTTCTGCTTGCCCCCCACTTACATAAGGTCCTGACAGATCCTTGTCCTCAGCTCGCTGCTTCCCACTGCTCCCCAGGCCACCCGGTCGCTCCTCTTCCACCACACTCTCAGGGGGTGAGGGAGATGCGCTCTGCAGAGAGACAAGGGCCGGGTGGGACAAAGGGTCAGGGTCCTGGGGCCCCAGACTCCATCCTGGCCCAGCCAAGACTGAGGGTCCCCAACACAGTTATTAGGATCTATGCCTCAAGCTTCCCATCTGGGAAATGGGACCTTCCAAGGGCAGACTCGATGCTAAGTCCTTGGCCTCACAGCAAGCTTGTGGGCAAATGATGGTTAATCCCATTGTACAGACAGGGAAACTGAGCCTAAGGGAAGACAGGGCTGTACAGTGAATTAGGGGCCGAGACAGGACTCAAAACCAGCCCACACATGCCAACAATATGACCTCTGAAGGTCAAAGCTTGGGTGAGCAGGCACAAAGAACCCCCCTGCCCCCCAGCATCAACCTGCCTGTGGGCCCTTAAACAGTTTGCTCCTTCCCTGGGACTCAGTCTCCCATCCGTACAGAGAGGCTGCCCCACACAGTGATTTCTCAAGCACTTCTGTTGTGGGATCAATTCTTCAACTGAGATTTTATCTCGAAGCCCAGTGTGATGGGCAGATAAGAAATCCAGCCTGGAGAGCTGCCTGGCTATATGCAAACACACAAAGGAGGAAGCGAAGTCCCGTTGGGACGATGGGGCAGCTGGGAAAGAAAGCATGCTGCAGAAAGCGCAACCACAGAAGCGAAAACCACGCAGCCACTTAAAAAAGAAAGTAGAAATCTTTAAAAAAAAAAGTGGGAGGTGGGGTGGGACGCCTGGCCGGCTCAGTCAGCAGAGCGTGCGACTCCTGACCTCAGGATGCTAAGTTCGAGCCCCACATTCGGTGTAGAGATTACTTAAAAAAAAAGAAAGATGGGGCGCCTGGGTGGCTCAGATGGTTGAGCGTCTGCCTTCGGCTCAGGTCATGATCCCAGGGTCCTGGGATCGAGCCCCGCGTCGGGCTCCCTGCTCGGCGGAAAGCCTGCTTCTCCCTCTGCCTCTACCGTTCCCCCTGCTTATGCTCTGTAAAATAAATAAATAAAATCTTCAAAAAAAAAAAAAAAAAAAGGAAAGAAAGTTGAGATGTGACAGCATGGAAAGATGGCCACAATGTATCACCAAAGTAAAAAAGCAAGCAGGGAGAGAGGCAGATGCCTTGCCATTTCTCTGAGACCTTGGGCAAGTCGCCTCACCTGTCTGCATCTGTGTTCTCATCTGTAAAATGGGGATGGGAACAGCACCCACCTCAATGGCTGCTGGGAAGACCCAGTGAGCCGTGGAACGCTTGGCCTAAGCCAGCGCCCGGGCCGCGGTGAGTGCTCACTGTTCTCTCTGGAGTAACCAGCCCATGTGTGTGCAGATACAGAAACCTACGTGATATACCAGGGTCTCTCCCCTCAGCACTGTGGGCCCACCACGGGAATGCTGGGGGGCTGAGCATCATCCCGGGCCCCACCCCCTCGATGCCAGGCGCTCCGCCAGCCACAGATGTCCCCACACATGGCCTGGTGTCCCCCCGGGGGTAGAATCTCTCATTTGACCACCACTCTTTCCTCGTATCAAGTGCGTTCCCACCACAGAGCAGCTCCTGTGTAGAATCTGTCTCTGTGGGGGGGGGGGGGCATGCCAGACACCGGGGAGAAGTTTGGAAGGAGGCGCTTCAAACTGACGACAGGAGTCATTTTAGGAAAGGGGACTTGGATGGGGGGTGGGCAGTGGCTCAGGGCAAGAGCCAGGAGAGCCATGGTCCCTTTACTGGGTCAAACAGGGTCCCTCAAAGTTACGTGTCCAGCCAGAAGCTCAGAATGGGACCTTATCTGAAAATAGGGTCTTTGCAGAAGTAATTTGTTTCGGCGAGTGCATACTGGATCGGGGTGGGACCTAGTGCAATAGGACTTAAAAAGGGTGGGACACACAAGACACACAGGGGAGAAGCCACGTGAGGATGGAAGTAGAGACGGAGTGATGCAGCCACGAGCCAAGGAGCCCCGAGGATGGCCAGACGCCACTAGAAGCTGAAAGAGCCAAGGAAGCATCCTTCCCTAGAAACGCTGGAGGGAGCCGCCCCGCTCACACCTCCATTTCAGATTTCTAGCCTCCAGAACCGGGAGAGAATAAATGTGTGTTGTTATAAGCCATGCAGGGTGCACTAATTTGTTCTAGCAACCCCAGGAAACAAACACGGTCCGTTTTCTACAGGAAAACCATCTACAGGGATCGTTCTCTGTAGGAATTGTCTCGTATTAAACAAGTAAACAAACAGGGCCAGTCGGCAACTGGCAACGTTTATCAAAAATGTAATCTCTGCCTCAAAAGAGGCATTTACAGGAGTGTATGCTATGGACATTCTCTTATCCGACCCAAAGGTGTTCCTGTGAAGATGTCCACCAGGGCGTTGTTTATCGCAGTGAGAAAGGGAGAAATGGTCTCCGACACATACTGTTAAACGAGCAAGACACAGAGCGGGGACATAAACTGCTGCCACTGGTCCACTTGGCCTTGAACGTATGCGAACATACAGACGCGCGCGCGCATGCGCACACCCAGAACAGCGCCGGCCGGTAGAACGCAGGGAAGCTGAGTCCCCTCTGGGGGTTGCACCGTGTGCGGTTTCCTGCATTCGATACTCTATTTTACACAAGCCTTTACCGTTGGGGGAGTCTGGTATAAGGGTGCCCGGGGCTTCCCTGTACTTTTCTTTGCAACCTCCAGTGCATTTATAATTGTCCCAAAACTAAACAATTTTTTTTTTTTTTAAACTAAACAATTTTTAAAGAAATTACACACGGGGATTTCTTGGATGGATGATGGATACATTAATGAATGGAGGGCTGGGTGGAATGCCTTTATTTATTCAATCGCAAAAAAAAAGCTCAAGCTGGAAAACTCTCGACAAATCTCTAGCCTGATGGGCATCTCCCACAACCAGGCGACCCAGCTGAAAAACCAGATATGGGTCTTGTTCTGAGGACCCTATCAGCTCAGAACCACCAGCTTCAGCCACATGCGAATAGCAAGCAAATAACACACAAGTTCCTGGATGCCCTTCAACTTACCCTGCTCGGGGCTCTCTCCACTGGAGGTTGGGAGTGAGGCAAAGGGAGAGAGAAGAAAAGATGAGGGTTTCGTAGCCCATGGTGCCAGAGGGCGCACCCCTCCAGAGTTTCTAGAGCCCTGTCCCCAGCTCAGAACCTCTCTTCTCCTTCCAACACCCTTGCAAAGGAATGGGTTGTTCCTCCCCTGAACCATTCAGATAGATGCCCAGAGACGGGCAGTAACTCGCCCAAGGACACACAGCCAGTGGGGGAGTAAAGTTGACCCCCAGGGCCCTGCAGTCCCCATCATTCACTCCCTCACACTTCAGTGAGTTTGGTGCTCTGGACAGGGTGGCCTGCCAGGCCCCCTCCCCACCGTCCCCCTGGCCAGTGCCACCCTGTGCTGCCCGCTCACCTCTGGGTCCCTCGGCCTCCCCACCTGCCCGGTCTTCCTTGGCGGCCGCAGCCAGCTGAGCCTGGGCGGCCAGTGCTCCGGACAGGGCCAGCAGCCCCGTGGCACCGCTGCCCACCAGGCCAGCAGGGCGAGGGGTGAGGGGCACAGGGGGGGCATGGTGGGACAGCGGCTGGAGCTGCTGCTGCTGGAGAGAGGAGAGGTGGGCCAGGGCCAGGCCGCAGCCCAGCGGTGCCCCTGGCCCACGAGGCCGCCCAGAGCCAGCACAGGCTCTGGGCAGAGGGGGCACCCCAGAGTCTGCGGGGAGGCCAGAGCCCAGGCCAGCTGCCCACCCGGCACCCCCAGCCAGCTTTAGCACCTACTGGGTGCCAGGGCCCCGGGGGTGGGGTCTCCCCAGGGCAGGGGAGCAGCAGGGGGGACTCACCCCGATGAGGCTGTTCAGCTCCCCCACGGTCACCTGCTTGGCCCGCTCCATGGCCTGTAGCACCTGCTGTTGATGCTGGGAGGTGGGGGTACGGGGAAGGGGGTGCTCGGGCTCCCTGTCTGCTGGCCGTCCCCATCTGCCCAGGCAGTGCCCTCTGAGGCCCCAGCTCCCCCTCCCCCCTCATCCTTGTCCCCAGCACTTGCTATTTCTCTTCTCTCTCTCCCTTTCCATTTTAAATGTGAGGCAAACACAAAGACAAAGAAACAAAGCATATACGGGGCAGTGAAAACTAGTAATTATAAATCGGGGTTCGATCGATCAGGATCTCCCTGGGCACTGTGGACATCGGGGCGGGTCATTCTCTGGGGGGCGTCCTGGGTGCTGTGGGGGGCTGAGCGGCATCCCTGGCCCCCACCCACTCCATGCCAGGAGCACCGCCAGGCCTGATGACCACAGACGTCCCAAACATTGCCAAGCGTGCCCTGGGGACACCTTCGCCCCCAGCAAAGAACCACGGTCTAAATCAGCACCCAGCTAAACACCCCCGGGGTCAAAAAGTAGAAATTGGCAGCTTGGAGAAGCCTCAGTGCCTCTGCCCATCTATGGTCCTTCTTCCTGCCTCTCTCTGCCTCAAGCAATGAGAAAACCTCCTCTCCGCACTTCGTTGGATAAGGATGCCACCGGCCACACGTGGCCACTGAGCTCTTGAAATGTGGCCGGTGCAAGTGAAGAACGAAAGGTTTCATTTAATTTAAGACAAATGTCGGTAGAAAGTTAATGTAATATATTTACATCGAAATATAGATGAATGTATATTTAAGGGACCACACGTGGCTAGTGGCTCCCGTGGGAACAGACGATATGCGGCTGTTTATCCACACTCCCGAGCTCGGGAATTTGGGCTGCATTCCCACCGAGGACGTGTCAGATGCTACTGGGAAGCTCTATGTGTGGCACACGCGTGTGTAAGTGTGTCAAGGCCGAGGGTTTTTAAATGTTCTCTGTAAAGGGTCACACAGTGAATATTTTCAGAGTTGCAGGCCTGAAGTTCCCTGTGGCAGCTTTTCTATCTGCCCTTTGATCAGGAATGCTGCCATAGAGATCCGTACATGAATGGGCATGACGGCATACCAATAAAACTTTATTTACAAAACAGGCAGAGGGTGGGATTTGGCCCTCTGGCTATAGTTTGCTGACTCCTGGCCTAGAATGGAGTCGCTGGGGCACATGTGTGTGTCTTTATTCACTTCCTAGTCTTTTCATCCTCCTTTCTTCCCATGTTGCCCTTCTCACCACGGCCACCTTGTCCTCACCCTCGGCTTCAGACACGATCTCTACAATCTCAGTCCAGCCAGGACATCCCTCCATCCCAAGCTTCCAGAAAATCTCAGATTCAGTGGGGTCCAATGCAAGATGAGCATCTCTCCTGGTTTTGTTCCCCAACACAACTAGGGCCCCCCATTTATCCACCCTGCAATGGAACCTGCCCTCATGTCTCTTACGGACAGAATGCTCCAGACAGAAGCAGGGACAGCTGATGTCAAGGTCCTGAGGCTGGCAGGTACTTGGAGAATTCTTATAAGAGTTAACTTTTTTTTTTTTAAGATTCAGGGAGGTGTTCATATTGCTTTATTATGTCATCTGTCCTGGTTCTACTTTTTTAAAATTATTATTGTGGTTACAGATACGTAAGAGTTGCCATCATAACCATTTCTAAGTGCACAGCTCAGCGGCATGAAGCACACTCACACTGTCATGCAACCACCCCCATCATCCATCTCCAGAACTTTCCATCTCCCCAAACTGAGGCCCTGTCCCCACAAAACACTGACTCCCCATCTCCTCCCTCAGCTCCTGGCTCCCACCCTCTGCTCTCTGTCTGTGTGGATGATGGGTCTCCTCTAGGGACCCCCTGGGAGAGGAACGGACAGTATTTGTCCTTTGGTGACTAGCTTATTTCACTGAGCACACAGAAGAGCTAACTTTTACTGGGTGCTTACTGAGCACCCAGTATCACCCTGGCATGTGTCCGCTTGTCTAAACATCACCACAAAGGCACAGACAAGGCAAGCAGCCAAGGGCACGTGGCCAGGATTCGGACCCAGGCAACCTGGTGGAGCCCCCACTCCTCACCCTCAGCCACCCCCTCCTTCCATCCCTGAAGCCCCTGCTCCAGCCCGGTGCCCCCCAGGCCACCCGGCGGAACCAGTGCCCGCCACACTGAGCCGGCCCCCCTCCCCCCAGCCCTCCAGCTCCCCTCTGCCCCAGCAGGCCCACTCACCTCCTGCGTCAGGAAGGGGATAATCTGAGCACAGATACCACTGAGGCGCTTCACAATCTCGGCCTGGCAGGAAACAAGGGGGAGGAAGCTTGGAGGGGGGACCCTCCGTCCAGACCCTCAACTTCAGACGTAATAAGCCTTGGCAAAGCCCGGGAGGTAGGGGGCTGTCACCAGCAGGTGCAAATGGGGGACGCTGCAGCCAGCGAGGCAGAGGCTCGGGGCAGACCGATGGGCTGCCGAGGAAGCGGTCTGCTGAGCGGATGCCCAGGGCAGCCGTGAGCCGGAAGGCAAGGACGGATCCACCAGCCGCCAGACACAATCAACAGATTCCCAGGAAGCAGCCACACAGACGCCCCACTCAGATGGGCTACTCAGAAGCTTGGGGGTCATCATAAACAAAGGAGTGGCCCTCACAGGCTGTCTCTCCTGGGCACAGGCTCTCTCTGGGTCCCCTCTGCAACCTGGACCACTGCCAGGCAGAGACCCCAGTGCACCACACTCCGGGGAAGGGCTTTGTGGTGGTGGGCTCATAAAAAGAAATAATATTTTGCTCTTTGTCCCCAGTTCCTGGCACAGAGCCCCTAAAACTCTTGGGATTTCTCAGTGATGGGTAAGGGATGGGAGGGGGTGGCTTTTGCTGCTCTCAGTAAGCCCCTTTCAGCCATACCTGCATTTGTTAGAGGGATGGAGGTCGAGTTAATCACCAATGGCCGATGATTTTGATGATTTAATCAATCAGGCCTATGCAATGAAAGCTCCATAAAAACCCCTTAGAGAGTTGGTGGAGAGCTTTGGGTGGGTCAAAGTATGGAGGTGCTGGGAGGGTGGTGCACCCAGGGAGGCCACGGATGCTCTGCGCCCCCACCCATGCCTTCCCCTCCACCCCTCTTCCGTCTGGCTGTTCCTGAGCTCCATCCTTTCTAATAAGGAGGTAACCTAATAAGTCAACAGTTTTCCTGAGTTTTGGGGACTGTTCGGGCAAATTATCAAACCCGAGGTGGGGATTATGGGAACCCTCAATTTATATATAGTTGGGTGGTCAGAAGTTTGGGCCGGAGACCCAGACTTTTGTTTGGTATCTGAAACAGGGGTAGTCCAGTGGGGCTGAGCCCTGAAGCTGGGGTCTGCACTGACTCCAGGAAGACAGTGTCAGAATCAGGCTGAACTGCAGAACGTTTGCTGGTGTCGGGGTTGGAGAATCGGTCGGTGTTCAGAAACCCACATGTTTGGTGTCAGAAGAATGGGGAGTGGAGTGGAGACAATGTGGTTTTACTTGCAGGTTTCACTGGGGACAGGGTCTGGGCCAGGGGTGCCCCACAGAGGCCGAACAGAGGGAAGCGGGGTGGGGAAGGGGGCAGGTATGGCATATGCAGCTGTGTGTGGGGTCAGCCTATGCTCTGCTTCTACCTGGGTTAGAGGGGTGCTAGACAGGGTTCCCACTGGGAGGGTGGAGGCTGAGCCCTAGCACCTGCCTGCCACCCTGTTAGACGGTCTATTTCATGCACTCACGGGACCACGCCCTACTCCAAGCAGATCAGCCCCCTCCAGCCCTCACCAGAGCCAGCAGAGCCCACACATACCCAGAAAGGCAACCCCAGGCCGCCCACACTCTCAGCCCACCCCCCTCTTCCCACCCACCAGGAAGCCCCCCCCCCGCTTGTTTTAGGCTCCACCCATTGTTTTGATATTCTGAGGGACAGAATCTAAGAGTCCATCAACCTCACAATCTCACAATCTTTCAGGGCCCCTCTTATCTATCAGAGAACCTTGAGGTCAGTGTCAGGTTCTCGGGGTTAATCTTTTCTTTTAAGGAGGTTCTGTGCCCAGCATGGAGCCCAACGTGGGGTTGAACTCATGACCCTGAGATCAAGACCTGAGCTGAGAATCAAGAGTCAGATGCTTAACCGACTGAGCCATTGGGGCGCCCCATCTCGGGGCTGCTCTTGAACAACTGGAGTCAATTTCAGAACCTTCTGGTCTAACTTAGAACCTTGAATCCCACGCAGAAGCTGACAAGAGTCTCAGAACCTCAGAGCATTAGGGCCCATCTCACATCCTTCAAAGCATCAACAGAAGCTTGAGGTCCATCTCAGACCATCAGGATCCATCTCCAAACATCAGACTCTCTGGGCTGAAAGGGACCTCCAGGACTGTCTGGCTGGCCCCCTCCCAGGGACAGGAGTTGCCCCCACGGCCTCCTGTCCTGGCTGCCAGCCTCTGGGACAAGCCCTCCTTGACAGAGACACCTGGCTCCTGCCCACTTCTTGCCTCTCTGCTGGACCATGTCTCTGGAAGTACAGAATTGTTTTCCTGTTGTGAGGCTGCAATCTGGCCCCCTGGTCCCAGAGATTTCGGGATGAGACCCCTGCTCCCTGGGTCTGCTTTGCCCCAGACTGCTTGAGTGCTGGGTCTCCCTCACAGCCTCCAGACCCTCACCCTTCCTAGTGGACACTCTGACCCCCAACACACAGTTACCTGCTTGTGCATTTCAATGTTGAGCCCGTAGGACATCTCATAGTACTGCAAAGGAAAAGCCAATTGGGAACGTCTACTGGGCCAGTGGATGCTGGGTCTTCCAGGAGCCCCCAGGCTGGGGGAATCACAGCAGGGCACAGAGCCTCACAGCCCCAGGGGAGCCCAGAGGGGAAAACCAGAGGAGGAAGCAGGGAGGGGGGCAGGAGGAGGTGCCCAGAGACCACGGCCCCTCAAAGATGCCCATGGGGAGAGGGGACATCCTTGTCTCATTGTTTGCAAGAGTTGGGAGGGCCCTCATAAAGACAGCCTGGAATCCCAACCAGCCCAATTTACAGATAGGGAAAATGAGGCCCAGAGTGGCAGGGTGAGTGGGGTTTCACACCCCTAGCGCTTTTACTCACAGCTGAGTCCTCCTCCCCACTGCCCAGTCCTGGCAATAATGAGCCCCTCACCATGACATAATGTCGTTGCATTTCTGTCTTCTCACTGGCCAGCTTCTCACATTCCAGCTTGAGGCTGGGAAGGAGACGGGGCATGCGGATCCCACTCAGCCCTGCCTCTACCACCACCCCATCCCCACCGCACCCCCCACCCCGAAAGACGAAAGACGCAGGGACACCCCATCTGAGCCACTTTCCAAAGTGATGGGTTTGGCTCTTTCCCCTCTCCCCACTTCCTTATCCTCACCCCACCTCCTGGTCCCAGTCCCTTCCTACCCCTTCTCAGGCTCAAAGTGTCCCAGTACTGGGTGTCCCCATCCACCTCACCTGCCTTCCACCTGGAAGCCCTCCCTCTCCCCTGGAGTGGGGGGCAGGCTCCCTCCTCCCGGCACCCTGGAGGCCCCGCCCCCGCCTGGCTGCGCCCCGCGGCCCCCAGCGGCCAGCCCCTCTCCCCGGGGCTCCCAGGTGAGCTCCCAGGTGAGCTCCCGGGTCCCCCGGGGCTGGGCGCCTCCGCCCCCCCTCACCTGTGGTACTGAGCCTGAAGAAACTGGAATTCCTCTTTGATGCGGTCGCAGATCTCCAAGATCGAGAACTTGAAGGGCTGGCCGGACTGAAGCGGGGTCTGGGGGGGACGGCGGGGTCTGAGCTCCCGGACGCCCGCGCCCCCACCCCGCGCAGCCCGGGCCCCCCACTCACCGGGTGCCTCCCCTGGGGGTACATCCTGCCGATCCGGAAGCCCCCCGCGCCGCCGGAGCCCGACGATCCCGAGGGGGGGCGGTGGGGGGGGTGGCGAGGCGGCGACGGGGCTGGGGGTGGGGGGAGAGCCGGGG